ATTTAATTGAGCGCACAAAAGTTTAAAATAAGTAATTAAAATGATTTATTGAAGTTCAGTTAAACCAAAGCTCTAGATTTCACCACATTTGCTGTGTTTTTAAAACACTTTGATGCAGGTGGGCAGCAGACTTTTACTCCACAAAGACAATATATGCTTATTTCTGGTTTATTTCTATTAATTCTGCTTTTTTTTTTCTTTTTTTTGATGGACAAACTAATTAATTTGGTGATCAACATATGATAATAGTCATCGCTTAGGAAGTGCAGCAGCATGAATAACTGCTGAGGAGGCGACGATGTAGCTGAGCTGAACTATGGAAGAAGCATGGAGATGGAGGCTTGGCAGCAAGGAATCACACCGACACAGCATGTATGAAAGTTAGGGAGCAAGGGTATTGTTTTTTTTAAAGTTTCCATCAACATCTTCCAGTTAGATGTACCTACAGAGATCCTCTTAACAATCGTGCTACAAGCTGAACAAGTTTTGGAAGAAACAGCCCTATTTACGATAACTGGAAACACCTGCATGGTTGGTAAACTAACTCCTCCTTTGGACTTAGCTGGCATAGCTGCCAATACAAAAGAGCTAATGGTGTTGTCTTTTCAACTTCTCCTTCCCCGCTCCTGGACGATTTATTTTCCAAAGCTGCGAGGCTGGTGGAGATTAATTAGTCCTCATGCAAAAGTAAACAGCAATGTTCCAGTGTAGCTTTATGGCCAAACATTAAAGTAGGTTAAGCTTTTTGTCTTTCTTCATCTGTATTTAGTTTCTCTAGCTCATCACTTCTCTATTATTCTATATGGTTTAAACAATATTTTATAAATTGGATAACATTTTCCTTTTGCATTTCTTTTACAAGTTGCAAGTGTTTCCATGGAGACTAAACTCTTATTTTGGAAGGACATTTCTGACCCAGGACTTAACCAGGTTACTTAAGCAGTTCATCCAACACAATTGTATTTCACTCTATGTTTTTGATGAAAATGGAAACAAACAACTTTTCATCCGTTAAAACATAAATAACATGCCTTTCTTGGAAAAGTTACTAATTTTATCAGAAAACTACAAAAACTTTAAAGTAGGGCTGGGCGGTTAACCGATTTTATCAATTTGTTGAATTTTTTGTTTATGAAGATAAAATTTTTTGGTAATCTGGATTTTCTTTTTTTTTTGTAACTAGTCAACTCCTTGGCCAACATGGCTGTTATATGTGAACTCAATTAGGGCTGAATCAATTAATGGGATTGATCGATTATTGAATGATTTACTAATCGATTAATCATTAACTGGAGCATAGAGGCTTTAAAATATGCCTGTAACTGACAGAATTGTAAAAAAAATATATATATATATCTATATATATATATATAGATATATATATATATATATATATTTTTTTTTTGTATGCATTTAAGAAAAAGAACTTTCATCTATCAATATTGCTCTATCCAGAACTCCACAAGTGGAAAAGTCTTAGTTTCCCCTGGTTTAATTCTGTAAAAAAAAAAAATTCTTTAAGGAACTAATTGCAATGCAATTATTAATCAATGAATCGAACAAATTATTAACAGATTAAAAGATTAGCAAATTGTTAGTCAAACCCTTATAATCATTACTGATAAAATAGCTCACTGTGTTAGACTTTTAGTCTGATATATTTTCATTGTTAGTAGTGAAATTATTATTTCACAAGCATCTTTAACAGCTTGGATTTCATTGCCCTTTAAAATTAGAGTCACCTCCCAGAGGGGATGATTGAAATCAAAGGTATTTTTTGAAAGAAATATATGTTATTTGTAAATTCTATTGTCAATCTTAAGAGAAAGAAAATTTGGTAGGAAAAAAAGCCATATCTCCCAACCCTAGTTGAAAGGCAGTAGCAGTTCTGATATTATCCTATCTGTTTGAGCCCTCAAGAATAATAATAGTTGTGAAATATTTTTGAAATTGAATGTCTAGTTTATTCCTGACGGGATGCAACTTTCATCTATCACCTCTAGCCACTCTCTTCCTTCAAGGTTAACAGGGACAAATTAAACCATAAAGAATGTTTTAAACACTATTAAAGTGGGAGACTTGTATCAAACCAGCATCTGCAAACACATCAAAAAAGCTAGCCATTTTTGCTGGCCCAAATTATTTCTTTCTTGCTGCCTCTGTGCAACTTTATAAAAGATATGACAGATTCCTGTGCAACGCCTTCCTGATAGTAGAACCTTAACATAGAAAACAGCACAGCAGATAAAGCAAAGTGACAAATGGTAATAAAAGAGAAGTGCAAACAACGTGGGCTTTTTTTTTTTCTGCAAGCAGATGAACAACTGTGCTCTAGAAACTAGAAAAGAACAGTTTCAGCGTATACTCAAGCACATCAGTGACAACATAATCTGAGACTAACACCTGCAAGTTAACATTATTTGAAAAAAAAACATACTTAGTCTATAAATTTCAAAGGGATTCATTGCATCTTTAACTACAGAACCACCTGAGAGATAAATATAAACGCATTATGTGCCAAAAGAACTTCGCTTTTATTGCAAAATAGATTATATTATAGAATTGAATTTCGATCTTTAAATACATTTTCCAGAACCTGACATTAAAGCGTATGCTAAATTGCTGATTTGAAAGAAAAATATGGTTAAATCTTTGCTTTTTGTTTGTTTTCCCGTTCTTTGGACTATTTCACTAATTTAGTAATAGAACAAAACCAACAGGGTGATGATTAAAAAAATAATGATAAAAATAGGAACATCTCACGGCAACAGAAACAGCTGATTGGTCAGGATGCAGAACTCAGCTCTGACTTTGCATCCACTGGCAATGCTGACCTGATGTTAGCTTCTCAGGGTAAAGTACTGTCAGATAAAAAATGTATGACTCAAGTCTGCCAAATATGACCTCAGGCTTTCAATGGGTGAGATTTGTTATGACTCGTTTACATTTGCTGTTTGAAACTATCTTGCATGTTTTAACACAAATGACAATTTAAATGATGACCAATGTATTCCACCAGGATTAAACAAAGGTTGTCGGTAATGAAATTATTTTCCTTTTAACTTCACAATTAAAAAAGAAAAAAAAAAAAAGGATGAATGAGCTTCCGCATTGGTCTAAGAATAAAAGCAGCAATCAATGACCATGACCCAAGGAGAAACCCTGGGCTTTGGGAATGAGGTATTAGCAGGTCGTCAGGATAATCCAGTGAAAATCTTAACGACCTAATTAAAACAACTGGAGGAATTTAACCGTTTCCTCCTGCCACCTTTCAGAGAGTGCCTTTGGGCAAGGCAACGGAGCAAGAACGGATGCATTTATCAAGCATCAGCACACGACCGGAGGAGCGCCGGCCAGCTCTCAGGTGTGAGTGTATTTTCTTATATGCAACCCTCCCCCCACAACGCCGACCTTTGCTGTAAGTATATATGCTGTCAAACTGTCACAGAGCTGTTCATTCAAAATGTCAAACTTGAAGTTATCAAACTGCTCAAGATTCAAAGTATGCTTGAACCCCCCCAAAAAAATAAAATAAACAGGCTCTTATCGTGCCTCTATGGATTCCTTTCTATAGCCGCTGTTGATGTTACCTATGCGTAATTTCACCTTGCTTTTGCTCTTCATACAGGGAATGTCTGGCTTTATGACTAATTGTCCTATAACACAGTAATTGAGCTGATAGATAGATGATCTTTAAGTGGAAGACTGGGGGAAATGATCCTGATTTGAAAGGGAGAAAGAGGATCTGAGACAACATTTTGCCCATTTAGGATCAAATTATTATTATATATATATATATATATATATATATATATATATATATATATATATATATATATATATATAAAATTTGATCCTAAATGGGCAAAAATGTTGTCTCAGATCCTCTTTGTGTGTGTGTGTGTGTGTATATGTGTGTGTGTGTAAGTAAAAAGAAAAACAGAAAGCATGTGTTTTTATTATTTAAATAAAAGTTGTACTTTGAAAAGTTTCTTTTGAAACTTTCGAAAACAAAAAAATACCAAACCCAAAAGCCAGTTTAAAGATGTAAAGCCTGCAACAAAGAGCCATCCTGAAGACCATGCAGAAAGATTAATGTCTCAAATAAAATAAAAAAATAAGGAATACAGTCTGGTGTCCAAAAAACAACAAGCATTTTAGATTAGTATAAATATAAAAATAAATAAAAACACAATATACTGCATCCTTCAGATTATGATTATACAACTAGTGTTTCTTGAATGTGTATCTGCTACTACACACACTGTGCCTCCAAATCTAGATATTGAGAAGAAGAAATCTCTGACAATTTTCCCTTTAGCTGAATTTTATGTAATCAATCACTGTAAGATATTCCTCTAAAACCTTTAATCATTTCACTGATGACAAATTTTTAACCCCCTATCAGACCACACAAAAATTCAATGTACGTAGATCAATTTGGTCAAAAAAATCAGACCGCTGCATTTTTTTCCCCCATAGCATGTTTGTAACGCCAAATATTCATCTCGTTTCTCCTCATTGATTGCTACCACTCTAATACATTTATATGATGTAATTATATTTTACTAAATTCAATAGTTAGTTTGAGCAGCGTGGTGGGTTTTTTAAAGAGATTAGTATGGATTATAAATACAAAAACAGCATTTTGAGTGTGTGTCTAGGGGTCTGTGCTTGAAGCCCATTCTTTTTAACACTTAGATGATCAGTACATCAAAAGTGATCAAACAGAAGCTTGAAAAAAAAAAAGCACGGTCCTTTGCGTCCACATCAAATATGGGATCGCTGCTAGAGAGAGAGGTGAACACATGCAAATATAAGATCCTGCACATTTTAAGTAATTTTAAGTCAATGCACCTGACTTTGACTAAAGCAGCCTGTTAACCTTAATAGGTGTTTGGCCAGGGGGGCCCTCAGGCAAAGTAGGGGGGGGGGAGAGAAGTGACAGTTGGCAAAACATGAATAAAAGTCTTATATAAGTGGAAAAAGGATAAACTCACCGTCTTTGAATCTAATTCGTGGTGCTGTTGAGCTAAGACTTTATCTACACTGGCAGCATCTGTAAACGTAACAAACCCAAATCCTCTGCAAAACAGAAACAAACACAGTTTTAGAATTTAATTGAACAATAAACAAAAAAAATTTATTTTCTTTCAAAAAGACACTAATGAGAATAGATTAAAAAAATAAAAGTTAGAAAAAGAAGAAAAAAACGTTAAATGAATGTGACCTTATCACTGCTCCAATATTTCTTAGTAAATAAACACATTGTAGCTGAGATTTCAAACAGGCTTGGGGTGAGGAGGGTGAGGAGAGTGGGTGAGGAGGGAGGGGGGACAGTGCTGAACATTATGTGGTATGTTACACAGTGAGACGACGCTCCACCAACATTGTGGTGCAGTCACAAAGTCAATGTCAAATTGCATTCGGCCGCAGCTTTACAGCAGCGCGCGTTTAAGCTTATCTGGGCTCGCGGTGAAACCACACGCAGGCGCGCGCGCGCAGACAGGGGACACACACATGCGCGCGCGCGCTCACACAAGCTGGATTAACACTAAACACGGTCAAAGTAAAGCGATATCGTCATGTGCAGTGGGAAGGAAAAGTAAGAGAGAGAGAGAGAGGAAGAAAAAAAAGCCCTGCATTTACCTTGAGCGTTTTGTCGTGGGGTCTCTCATCACCATACATTCTCTTATTTCTCCGAATTTACTAAAATAGTCTCTAAGGCTGTCTGTGAACAGAGAGAATATGTCGGGTTATTTGACAGAAAACATATGGGCACGCATTTAAAAAAAATAAAATGTAAAAAAAATGGAAAGGAAGGAAGGGAGAAAAAAAAAAGAACACCCCGCGATGCGCATAGGGGTCGAATAGAGGACTTCAGATGGACGGAGATCAAAAATAACACACTACTGAGATATCCCATACAGAACAGCACTGCACAGGGACACATTCGCACAGACACCGCCAGCAGCTAACGAGCACTCAGTCTCAGCGACATTAAATAATAAAGAAAAACAAGAAGAAATACTGGACACGGCGTCAAAAGAGAATAACAGTCTCACCTGGTGAGGTTTGCCAGCTGAGGCCACCGATAAACATTTTACTGTAAGGGGAAAACACAACAGAAGTGAGTCCAGATGTCAGTTCGGCCATTTTGACGACTAACTACTTCTAAAAGCGACCTTAAAGGATAAAGGGAGACTATGAAAGCGCATTCGCGCTTAGTAATTGCAATGTATCTTCATTAAATAAAGAAGGGGAGGCCACTCTCGCTACAAAAGCTGTGCTGTTTCAAACTGCGTCTGGGAACGGACCCGTGCACGGGTTTAAGTGCGCACTGCGCGAGGACGGATCCAGCACGGCGCTCCAAGTCCTCTCCAAGACGTTGAAACATGAAAATAAAATGAAAATAATAAAAGAAAAACGTAGGTTAAGGTTTCATTTTGCAGATTCTTACCCCGGGTCATGTTGTGAATCATTTAAGCTTCCGGACGTGGCTTGACTCCCGTCTCCTTCCATATCTATTCCAAACTATAGAGGCTGGGACTACAGTAACAGTGACAGACACACACAGATAGGGCAGGAGATATGCAAAGCCCCGCTATGAGAATATTACTGAGCCGGGAATGAAAGCGTCACACGTGGGATCCGCTCAGCCCCCTGCTCCCTCCTCCCTCTCTCAGCGTGCTCTACCTTAGCCCACAGGGGGCGGAGCCTGGCTCTGTCACCTAACCAATCCAATTGACGTCAATTCAGGCAATCTGCAAAGCAATCCTCCGATTTGTCGTTTAATTAAGCAATAAGGTGCAACTGGCTATTTGCTCTCCTAAATCAGTAAAAGTCTATTACAAATATTTTAATTCAGTTTATTTATATAGTGCCAATTCACAACACATGACCATGTTCACCAGATTATACAGTCAAATTGATTCAAAGTCTAAGAGAAACCAGTTGATTGCATGGACTCACTGACTCGGATGCAATCCCTCACACTAAGCATGCTTGTAGCGACAGTGGAGAGGAAAAACTCCCTTTTAACAGGAGGACACCTCCAGCAGAACCAGGCCCAGTTTTAGTAGATTATACCAGTTATAATCTATTAAAAACACTGCCAATGGAAAGAAAAGTATTTCCCATTATTTACACTGAGATCTTCAACATCAGCAAGAAAATAAAAATACATGACTTAATAGTTCATCCTGGTTGTGATGCGTGAGAAAATAATCAAAGATCTACCTGAAAGCTGTGCAATGTGAGAAGCTAAGTGTGCCGTGCAGCACCATAAGCTTCAGTCTTGTTTGAATTTTGATAGTAACAAAAAAAAAGATGTTTATTTTCTATCTACTTTCTCAGAGGCAGCTATAGGGCATTGGGGAAGTTTTAAAGCACATCTGAACTGTGTCATAGTGTGTCACTTTTAAACCAAAACGTTTTTTGGTTGTATGTCTTTTAATAATAATAATAATTTAACTTTATTGACCTCACATTGGAGAAATTTATCTGTGCATTTAACCCATCCCCTTGGGGAGCAGTGGGCTGCCATCATGGGGTGCCCAGGGAGCAGTGGGGGTTAAGGGTCTTTCTCAGAGACCCAGAGTGGCATTCTGTGGGAGTGGGGCTCAAACTCATATCCAGGATTCCAAGTTCTATGCCCTAACCACTTGCCCACCACTCCCCCATATATTTCAAATATATTTCTTAATGGTGACACACATTTAAAATGTTTAATCAACCATCCAGTTATTCATTAATAATAATCCCAATGAATCACATTTTAATCAAAAACCTTTTATTGACTGAATAAACCACCTTTTAAATTCAAGAAACATTTTATTCTCTTCAAGAAAGATCTAGATAATTATATTAGCACAACAACAATATATTTATTGTTACTAATCCAACTATTTAGGCTATTCAACCATCAGATTGGTTAAACATTAATATATTTTAGCTTTTTTTAGAACGTATTGATAATTTATGCAATTTCTGTATAAAACTAATCCATAGAAGCGTGAACAGTATACTAACTTTAATTATAGCACAATTATTTGCAACAAATATAGTAAGAAATATATATAGCAACAAGACATGCAATTTTGCCTGTATAGTAGATAACGTTTAATTTCTACTACTGACAGAATGCCAATGCAGTTCTGCATGAAGCATTACCCTTATTAGGTTAACAAGTGCAATTAAATATGGAGCTTTAGAGCAATTTTCAAAATTACCTACGGAGACTACTTTTTCTCGTTAAGCCAGTTACTGACACAAATAATCCGTGTTCCTTGTCCTAGCTCCTTCCTAACTGCCAGCAGTATTCAGATGGCACTATTATGGCGACTGCAGAGGTACTTCTGTCAAAGCTTAGATTGAGGTGTTTGGATCCAGTCATGGTTTTCAATTTTGAACTCCTGTGATGCCACTTGTGCATCAGATTTATGGGTTGACAAGAAACATAAAGTACAAAGGTTCCCACCTTTGCAGAAAATGCAATTAATTGTGTTAATTTTTTTTTAAGTGTTAAAAGGTTTCTTATTTATTAATCAAAATTAACGTCTCGGCCCTAATAATCTTCTATGAACCATGCTCTTGCTGAACAAGTCTATGCCCTGTGCGTAATGGTGACAACACAATGTCTCATTGACTGTATGGGGCAGAGTTATTTAATGTGGTTCAAAAGTGGCTTTAAATGAAGGTCAGAAATTTCAACCAAACCGCTTTATACCGCGTGGTTTTCCCTACATTGTGTTTATTATCTTTGAAAAGGGCTTTTTTTTTTATTAAGTTATTTTCTTCTTAGACTCTTTCTTGGTTTCTAAAGCACATAACTTAGGATTGTTTTGTTGAACGATATCTATGCATAACCTCTGAATCTTTGCATTGTGTCCTGGGTCAACCTCTAGCTATGACCATAAGGTCTGGGTAGGAACATAGAACGACCATTCCAAAAGGTGGCTTGATTCCTTCCGTCTGGACGAGAGGTTCCGCCTCAGGTGGAGGAGTTCAGGCATCCAGGGATCCTGTTCACAAGTCAGGCACTGCTTTTTTTGACTCGACATTTCTCTCCCAGTCGGTTTAAAGGTTGGTGAATTGCAACAGTGCCATATTCCATTTTTTCAGCTAAAAATAAAACTCAACTGCACCCTGGTGTAGTTGTTCCTACTGTTGACTCGCTGCAAGAAAGTTTCAAGTTTCTATGTTTATTCCCCTCCTTACATGTGTTGATTTTCTACTAACACTCTGGCTTCCTGCCACTGACCAAAAATATGCACGTTGATAAATTGTTGCTTTAAATTGCCCTCAGGTGTGAGAGGGTGCACTCATACCTTTAATGAAATGGCATGCCAATCGGTCTTGCAAATTGACTGCTGGAGTTTGGTACCAACCACTTATAGAAGTTTTATGAAGTAAAAAAAATGCTCCAAGATGGTTAAACTTTCGTCATATTGCTTTATAGATGAACTTTGTTCTTAAAGTTCTTCACCACTTTATCTCCTACCTATTTAGTGTGTTCATTAATAATAATTATGCTTAAAATCAGTTAATAATATGATAACTTCTAATTACTAAAAACAATTGGTTCACTGGCATTTCTTAAGGGTATCAGAGTAAACTGAATAAAGATAGAATATCCAGCTTTTTAATTTAAAAAAAAGTGTAAAGAACTGCATCTTATTTAGCTTACACTTTCACATTTTGCACTACTTTGTGACGATCTGTTGCACAAAACACATCAAAGTCTGTGGTTGAAATGTGAGAAAGTGTTAAAAGACTAGAAATACTTTGAAAATCGTTGCGATGAACTAAGTGCAACTTCACAATTTACTCCCTCTGTCTGCTTTTCGCAGCTACATCTCATCTTTAAACATGATATAGCTACGCTATCAGAACTGAAGTTGTAACAATACACTCCGTTTGCTGAATTATTAAAGCATCTCCCACCAAAAGTGATGAAATGCAGCTAAGATTGAGCAGTGGTTTTAGGACAGATAAATTAAAGAAAGCTCTTGGAGGCACAAAATCAATGTTCAGCTCTGTTCACGTGTCCCTGAGCAAGATACTGAATCTCAGCCGGTGACCCAAAGGTCTCACCTTCAGCTGCCTTATTCATCACAATAGCCAACAAAAAGAAATTTCCCATGGGGATCAATAAAGTCTGGTATACGTACATACAGTAGTGTAATTATGGATCTTTTCATGTAGATGACCTATAATGAGCTGTCAGCCCTGCCCTCTGCACACGGTACATGGAGATAAGCTGGCTCTTCCTCCTAATAACCTTGAGGAAGTAAAAAGAATAAAAAGGTTAGTAAAATATTAAGACTGAATGGTATGTGGAGGGGAAGTAGTGTTAAGGATCTGAGTCAGTATTTTAAAACGAGTCAGGAGTCGAACAAAAATGTTATATAAATACAGTTCTCATTAATTCCAGCATGAGGAGACTCCCAGCTTTCCATGTGAAATGTGACTCGTGATCCTGGTTTATTATTCACAGTCAGAGACGTCTTTTGAATAGGCCTGTCTTCCCTGACTGTTGAGGGTTCCACCACAGGGAATTTCTTATCTGGCCATGCAGCATGTTTTTGAAACAATGCCGAAGATAAAACCAAAATAACAACACTTTTGTCAGTTTAGCAGCTAAAAGTCTGTCATTAGTTCTGGGACTTTCCACCCAGGAGTCGTCTGTAGCTCTGAAACAAAGGTGCAGAGCCAAATGGTAATTCCTCGCAGCACCGGAGTGTCATAGAAAATGGAAATATGACGCAGAACGTGAAAGACTATTACACCGTCTTTGCACTATGGTTCTGTCTCCTGATATTTTGGTATGCATTTATGATTACATTACTGTTGTCAAATGGGAGGAATGTTCTTTCTGTCCCCCTGCAAAAAACATGCATGCTCTCCTTCAGCTGCACAGATGCAAACAAATAAGGAAGGTTGTAAATTCATGTTGAAAACAAGCTTTATGAAACAAAAAGCTCTAAAGCCCATCGTGAGGTGTAGGAAAATCACTGTGGATTCAACACACCAAGAGCGACCTCTGTTTTATGCTTAAAATAAAAACACTGGAGGATCTGATTTCACGGTGGGATTGTGAATTATTCTGTTTTCTTAACATAGTTATTACTGCCTTTCCATTCACTGTGCCATGACGGGAGCCAAGCTGAACATGCCTGAGAAGGTACAGTTAGTGTGACATTTTATCATAGTTTACAAAGGGGATGCACATTTCAACAAGACACCTTTGTGGCAAAGAAAATGTTCCCTACAGCGTTTTAAATCTAGCACCACCACCTCACGCAATCCCAACCACAGAGAGTCCCTGGAGAAAGTTTGCAAACCCTTTTTATATCTTGAATGCTCCTGCAAGAAAATCTAAAAAGTGTTTTTTTTTTCAATTACATGACATGCAAAGTATAGCCGATTTTTTTAAGATGTTTTTTCAACATATTTAAATCTGGTAAATTCGGAGGATGTTTATGTAACTCAGCTTCCAGCTTTGAACATTGAGGCAATTTGAACTTATCTTTAGCCCAAGCACACTCGGGTCAAAGCAATCTCCTGATATGATTTTATTGATTGATCTCAATCATCCCATGACAACTATAGGATCATTTTTAAAGTCACTGTTCTGCTGGAAGCCTCTAGTCTCGAGTCTTTTGCACAATCAGTCAGGTCTTC